CCCCCCTTCCAATGGATCCCTACCCCCTCCCTATATGATCTCGGAGAGATGGGGGTAAGGCGAGGCCACCTGTCTGTGAGGCCTAGCAGGGGAGATAGAAGGAGAGGAAGGGCTAAAGCCTTTAGGAGGTGAGGCAGAGCGATTGGAACTGGGCCTCACTAGGGACCTGGATCTGCCAGGAGATTCGGACCTAATAGCCTGAGCTTGCTTTTCTGCCCTGGCCACTCGTTTTACCAAGCCTTCTGCCTTCTTAACTCATCTCTCACAGCACCTTTAGAGGGGTGCTTGTCAGCAGACGGCCTAGCAGCCGCTGCCCTGGTTCTCAGTCTGCCCTGGCCTTCCTCTGCCATCTCACTGTGGATTTGCATAGGGGCCTGCGCTGACTCGGGAACTGTGGAGGCCATGCCTCACTCACGTGGCTTGAGCCTGGTGGTAATCTGCTCAGGAGCCTGCCGGCCTCGATCTATGGCTGTGCTGCGGGCTGAGAACAGGATAAACTGCCTGCCGGCCTCGATTTATGACCACGATGCAGGCCTCTGCCTCAGAAAAATGGCCAAAATGGCCACCACGCCTCGTGGCAAAAAAAAGGGGGCTGCCTGGTGAAAAGGCTCTGAGGCAACGGCCTCGCGGCGAGCTGAGTCTCTCTCTCTCTCTACTCTCTCTTCAAGAAGATTGGGTCTGAGGCGCCGAATACGAGCCACAGCGCTGCCCTTAAGTCGCAGCAGCATCTCTAAGTAGCTGCACGCCTGTTGCAGTCACGGCAAGGCTTTTGAAGCTGCGGCGAGGCTTTTAGAGCTGCGCCAAGGCTGTTAAAGCCGCGGCACTCTAGAGGCTAGTATCAATGATGGCAGAAGTAGAAACGCCGTCCTTTGAAACCTCTGAGTTTACTCAGCTGCAATGGGAGCCTATCAGCCCTGTGCACTCAGGGATTGGACAGAGCACCCCCAGGCCCAGAGGTAGGAGACCAGGTCACTCCCACTTCCTTATGAGACTGACAAAGCAGACTCCATGGCCAGCAATCCGAAAATTTAAAGAAATTTAGAATATCCAATTAATCGAATTAGAATAAGAATAATAATCAATGAGGAAGGATATTTTAAGAAAATTCCCTCAGTCTCTGGACTAATCAGGCTGTGACTAAACCCAGTTGTAGCCCCTCCCGCCATATCTACAGGAAAACACCTATATTATGTTATCCACAAAACTTACATCCTCTGATGATGTTATTCAAGGCATGATAGCCTCCTGAAAAAATAACTCTACTTGATACTAATATGTGCAGTAAGCGAACCCTTTATATGTACAATTATACATGTGTTCTTTCCACATGATCTAGGATGCTAATAATGCAGGATTCTAACCAATAAGGAAGTCAGTGTAAAAGGCTTTTTCAAAACAGGTATTAAGGTGATATAAAAGGTGTTGGAAGTTATATGGGGCACGCTGGAGAATGGCAACTGAATGAATTTATATTCATAGAACTCTCAGTTTTAAGAGATTTGAATATTCATTTAAATTCGGGATATCAGATAAGCTCCTTGTGCTGTGCAAAGTTATTTAAAATATTTCTGTTCCTCATTGTTAGAGAAACTTGACATCCTAGCACTTGTAGTAATGTAATACTTACGGCAAGTCATTGGGAAAAAAAATGACCATGTTGTTTGGATATGGCATGAAAGGAGAAATGTATCGGTTGTGAAATCCTTTGGAGCTGCTCAAGTGTGCAGAACAGCAGTTTATAAGTCCAATACATGCAAGCACACATATTTTCACAACTGCAATAAGAAATGTTTATCTTCCCTCACTCATGATTTGAATCAAACTTTCTATAGGTAGTCCTCAACTTACGACAATTGAACCCAAAATTTATGTTGCTAAGTAAGACATTTGTTGTGAGTTTTGCCCCATTTTACGACTTTTCTCATCACATTTGTTAAGTGAATGACTGCAGTTGTTAAATTAGTAACAGGGTTGTTAAGTGAAACAGATTTCTCCATTGATTTTGCTTGTCAGAAGGTTGCAAAAGGCATCGTGTGACCCCCTGGACACTGCAACCGCCATAAATACGAGTCAGTTGCCAAGCATCTGAAGTCTGATCACATGACCATGGGAATGCTGCAAAGGTCGTAACTGTTGTGACTTCAGTTACTAAATGAACTGTTGTAAGTCGAGGACTACCTGTATTTCTTGTTACCAGTTACATTTGAGGGAAAGCTACTAAAGCATGTTGCCCATCATTGGCTTCAGGATATTAGTAAATTCCTGAAAAGTATGTGCAAATGAGAACCAGAAACAGTACCCATTATTAGGAGCAGAGAATGCAGTTGATAGCCTGATTCCCATCCTGGATATATAATTTATGCTACAAATAATTAGAAAAATGCTCTTTTGTTTTGATTTAAGTTTTTATTTTTACCTTGTATGGTTATACATTGCTTTCCTCAATAATTGCTAAATAATTTGTAATGGCATAAAATACAATTTTAGTACACTATCATTCTTATTAGTACTAGAACAAATATACAGCAATAACCAAAATATAAAAAGTAGCAACAGTGAAGCATATCCATTACTTGGTGAAAAATTAGCCTAGGCTTCTAATTTTATCGATCCCAGGACTGTTTGTGCATCTTTATATTCTTCAGTTTCCTCCAACTCTTTTTCATTTTCCTGAAAATAAATAAAAACTTCTAAATATTTTTGAAAGTATGCCTCCAACCTTTAGAATCAACATCTTATAATGCTGAATTTGTTGTTAATACCAGTATCATTAGGAATAATAAACAATGGGATCATAGAGCTATTTGGCTAGGACAAGATATGTGGATCTTGTTATAGTTAAATTTAAAACAGTACTGTCTGGTATTTCAGATGGCATTCCACAAAAATCCATCCTTAAATTGGTAAGACTTATCTGGAGATTTAAATCCAATTGTAAGAAGACAAAAACGAAATCCTTTTTCATATACAATATGTGGAATTTAAAACTGCCACAAGATGATGCCAATCAGCCTAATATACCTGAAACAAGATTAGATACCATTAATGTTTACATTAGCTGTGATGACAATATCTCCTGAACGATAGTCAACATATCTGTAAATATCAATTTTTGGGGAAAAGCCGCAGGACAAATCAGTTATATTCTACATGAAGATTTCCCAAAGGCATTTGTGATGGAATGTGTACTTGAAGAAGCACTGGGGGTAGGGGGTTTACTAGAGAGAGGCTACACAGTTCCAAACTGGACGAGGGATAGGAGCAGAGATTCAGATAAGCCCCACTCTAGAATCTCTCAGGATACTTGGGTTTCCACGAAAATAAGACTGAGTCTTATATTAATTTTTCCTCCAAAAGACTCATTAGGTCTTATTTTCCGGTTAGATCTTATTTTGGGAGAAACACAGTACAGTACAGCATCCATATTGGTTGATGATCTTAACTGGGGCTAATTTTTGGGGTAGGATTTAAATTACAAGCATCTTGAAAAATCATGCTAGGGCTTATTGTCTGGTTGGGTCTTATTTTCAGGGAAACAGGGTATATCTAGTACAGTGATGGCGAACCTTTTTGGCACTGAGTGCTGGGATGTGCCCCAGAAGAGAAGCTGCCAATTGGGCACGGTGAACTTCCAGTTTCCGGCATGTGCATGTGCACCAGCTAGCTTGTCTTCTGGTTACTGGCATGCATGCATGTGCGGCAATCAGCTGGCCAGCCGCACGCGCACAATGGAAACCATAAGACTAGCTCTTCTGGTTTCTGGCACTGCCACAAAAAACAGCTGATTGTCGCGTGCACATGCATGCCAGAAACCTGGAAGAGGAATGGGCGAGGCTGTGCATGTCAGCCGACGTGGCTCCGTGTGCCACTTCGGGCACGCATGCCATAGGTTCACCGTCATGATCTAGTAGGTTAGAACATTATAGCTTTCATTTGACAAGATCCCATTAGCTATAAGCAAATAAAGGACTGGACCTTGACTGGATTTCATTGTGTTGACTCTGGGCTTGGCAACATCTGATTGTCTACTGTCAAAAACAGGATGCTAAACAAGATTTGCCTTAGGTGATACCAATAAGGATGCTGACTCTGTAAACTGTCTGATTGCTATTGCTACAGAAGAGAGCTTCCGGAAAAGATCTAAAATGATGATCCTATGGGCCAAAGCTAAAGAAATGTTTCCTAAAGCTGTGAGAACTTCTATAAACAGTGAATGCTGGGTTAGAAAATTTCCTTTAGCTTACAACTCTGAAATAGCCTTGAAGGGGAAAACATACGAACCAGGCTCTGTATTTGTTAATACATTGAATCTAGTAGCTTTCAACACTTTAGAGCCCTCATTTTGAAAAGTAAGCCTATGGCAATTTTCAGAAGAATTTGTACTGCAAATATTTAAGTTGTTTCTTTTAAAGTCTAACTTAAATACAGGGGTGTGTAAAGCTCACATTTCAGAATGATAAAGGAATTATGTTCAGTGACTGATTATGCTCCTGTTTCTCTTTTATCCAAATACCCATAAATAATTTACTCTCCAACCTCCACTGTATTTCCACACCATCCTCCGCATTTCACGTGTTATATCAACCCTATTTCGATTTAAATATCTGATTAAAATTCCGCATCGAGCATTAACTGACTGATTGTAATGGAAATTCTTAAATCACTGAAAATCAGAGGGGGAGTGGGGTTAGGCTATTTTGGGTTGGCCATTTTAACATAAATAAGTCTCAATAAGTTCATATTTTTAATGTGCCTAAAATGCATCTATTCTGAAAAGCTGGCAATAATGAGATATGCACATTAACAATTTGGTGATATACAGTATCAAAACAGAAGATGTATAAACTAATCTAAGTTCAGCTGGCAGTCTATAGAAAAATTCTTTTTCCATACTTACTAAAAGTTGAACAAGGTCTGAATGTGCAGCTTCTAGTCGGCGTTGGCAATCGGGAATCATCATTCGAGATTCTTGCAAGATCTCAGTCTAAAAAGGGAAAGTAACTACTTCAAATAAGAGATAACTTTTCATTTTGATATTAGCTGCCTAAAACCAGACATCACATTGATGTATATATTCATACGCATAAACAGTATTTTATTAAAGAAAGAGTATTCAATATTACTTCTACCTTCAAGCAAAAATGATTAGAAAGTGTTCTATGAAATAGTTATTTAAAATACTATTTGATATAAACTGTTTCCCCTGCAGTTAGAAACAGCTTCGTCCAAAATGGGATCAGCTGGTTATATAAATATCTCCTACATCTTTTGGGTAATAAATAAAAACAGTGTTCAGATAATACCGCACAGAGATAATTACTGCATGAAAAAAGTTATTGAGTTATTGATCACATTGGATGCTCACTGCAGGAGGTTCTGACTGAGAAAAAGGTAAAGAAAAATGAAAAGCAAAGACCAGCAGGCTCATATTTTTGATGCTTATCATGCATAAAAAAGTTATTACTCATCCTTGGGTTTTGGTTTTAGGAGAAAGATTATTCTCACCATGCTTTTTGTGAGAAATTACTGATTTGGCACCCCAATGCATTTGAACATCTTGTATACATCTCCAGAAGACAATGTTGTAATTGTCCACAAAACAAAATTTTTATGGAGTATTTTCAGCTCTCAAATCTATGAACTGAAAAGATCTATAAAAAAAGATCTGTATAACGTAGCTAGAAATGAAAATCAATTAGCAAAATACTAAGCACGAAGATTCCAACAGAAACAGCCATTTATAGAACTATAAATAGGGTTCAGTATACACGACTATATATAGCTGTGAAAAGATTCCTAGATAAAGTTGGCATATAAGCAGCACAACGTATTTCACTTTTTGCAACATTCAAAGTGTACCAAGGAATATATCCAATGATATATTCCAATTATAGACATTCTAACTCGGAATTTTAATTGTTGCTTTCTCTTCCTATAGAGCACTATTGATAATAATTTCTTAATTATACTTATTAGCTACTGGACCTGGACTACAGCTAGTCCTTAATGGATTAGTAACTGTTTAGTAACTGTTCAACAGTATGAAGCACTGAAAAAGTAACTTTATGATCAGTCCTTGCACTTATGACTGTCAAAGGATCACAATGCTGAGGTGATCACCATTTATATACCGTATTTTTCGGAGTATAAGACGCACCAGAGTTTAAGACACACCAAGATTTTAAAGAGGTAAATTAAAAAAAAAAGTTTTTGCACTCTGCAGGCCTCCCAAACCCACTGCATGCCTCATTTTTTTAAAAAAACAGGGCATGCATAGGCTTTGGGAGGATTGTAGAGTGCTCCTGGGGGCTGGGGGGGGGAAAGTGGCCCATTTTTCACTTGCTTTTTCCCTCCCCAGCCTCCTGGAGCACTTTGCGGGCCTCCCAAACCCTCTGCAGGTCCATTTTTGTGAAGGGGGCGGGGTTTCAGGAGGCTAATAATGCTGTATTCAGTGTATAAGACACACCCAGATTTTCACCCTCTTGGGGGGGGAAGATGCGTCTTATACTCAGAAAAATACGGTTTCAGAACTGGATTCTGACAAGTAGATTTAATGAAGAAACCAGAAGTAAAATTACAAAGCAAAGTCATATGCTGTTTTGCAGGTGATTTAGTTAAGGTCATTAACTAAATCACCTGCAAAACAGCATATATCATGTAAGTGAAATCGTAAGCTTGTTAAGATCATGTAATGTTTCATTTAAGAACCACATTGTTTAGTGGCAGACTTGCAGCTCCCAATTGTGGTTGTTAAACAACTGTATTCAAATTATGGCATAATTTGGGACCCATAACTCTCACAGAAATTACATTTGGGAAAATTGTGGCTGCTTCAGTGCTGCTGCAGTCATGTGATCTTCATTTTGAACAGTGCCCGTTTCCCAGTGAGTCTTACAAATACCTTCCCCCCCCCCCGAGGCAGCCACTCACTCATGAACTTTACCTGCTTTTTAATTGCATAGTTCTCTCCATCTTCAGCTTTCATCTTTTCAATCTTTTCTTCTTGTTGTCTTGCTTCTTTTTCATACATAACCTTTTCTTTTGCCAAGCTGCACACAAAAGGTATTATTTGTTAAATTATAAATACACATAAAATTTTCATTTCTGAAAAGTTTCAAGACATAAAATGTCTATATATATATATTACAGCTATTCTAGAGTGCCACTCACTTTATTTTCAAATATTTATTTAGTTATTATTAAGTTATGCATTCTGACTGTCCTGGAGAATAACTAGTTGTACATCTAATAAATGAGAAATCCATCCATTAGAATAAAAATAAAATTCATGTACCACCTAGCAGACAAATTATTAAAGTTGCTAAAAATGCCATACAGACAAATGTAACTTTTTTTTAAACACTGTTCGGTTATTAACTTTGTTTATTGTTTGTTTCTGATGTACATCATTCATAGTCACTTTGACTTTGATGGTCCTATAAATCTGTTAAACAGACATCAAAATTCATATTTTGGTTGTTCTGAATTACATTAGTATAAGTATTGTTTCAGTTCTATTTTTATATCAATGTCAATGTAGATTATTAATCTATCATGTTGCAAAGTATTAAAAGTCCAATATACTTTTGAAGACAGTAAGTTTAGAATAGTGGTTAAAACATAAGATTAGAAACTTGGAGATCATGAGTTCTAGTTCTGTTTGAGGCACAAAGGTGTTCTTGGGCTAACCATTTATTCTCAGCCCTAAGAAACAGGCAATGGTAAGCCGCTTCTGGAAAACCTTGCCAACATGGACTTGTCCAGGTGGTTTCTGAAAACTGGATTCAGTTGAACAGCAGAAAAAAACCCTGTTGAAACTCTCCTTGGAAGAAAAATGTCCATACCATTCCAAAAATAAAGTTTGCAGTACTCTCTATTCCAAAAAGATTTAAATTTGGTTTACCCACTTGAATGTCTGAATGAGGACAAATCCTCATTAAATCAGATGAACAAAAAGCTTCGTGGTTAGTATAAAATAAAACTTAATGGTTGGATTTAACATATTCTAGAAACATGTTATAAGTTCTCTTGAAAGAAGGCATGTAAATTCTGCACAAGCTTTCTGACCTGATATTGACCCTGGATTTCCCAGATGAGGGCAGGAAGGATCCTGCAGAACAATTACTTTTAGTGTCACCTGCAACCATTCCTTAGCTAGTTAACCAGGTAAAAGGTATCCATGTATTATTTATGTAATGATTAAACAACTGAAGTGTATTTTTAGAACAGTTTTTAAATAAAATCAGAAATGCAAAATATGGCATCTAAGTCACTGATTCATAATATGATGAATCTATCATCAAAAGAGAAGAGCTTCATTGAATGCTTGATAAAAATGCTTTCCAGATTAAAACATAAATGTGTTGGTTTCACTTTGGCAGCTTAGGGTCTTGGTTGGTGAAAGAACCTCCTGTTTAATTTATACTTAATTTATACACTTGAATAAATACCATGGAACTATTTTCTCCCTTTTAAAATAGATTTCTTCAAGAACTATGAAACAAAACTTTTATATATTACAGTATAGAAAAGTATCCTTTGAATCTACAGTATTCTTTGATTCCATTTTAACAATTTATTAATGAGCAAGTACATATATCTGATTTAAACTGACGTTTTTAATGGGAAAGTATATTTTCCTAAGTATCCTGCCATACCAAAAGAACAACACAAATTGTACAGGTTTGGAAGCAATTCCATCTCTGTGTTGGCTGTGCTGCCAAATAAATTTATTCTGAATAAATTTTGTTACCATATAAATGGCTGAGCTCATATATATTAAACAATCAGAAAGCAGTACCAGATTCAGAAAGTGCCAGAATTAACTCAGAGATCTGCTTAGCTCATCAACTAGTGTGTTAACTTTGTTTTAATTTTGTGAAATTCATTTTTATCCATTATAAAACTAAGTTTATATTCTACTATCAATTTATTTATTTGGAAGGCTGTTTTTTAAATTGCAATTCCTGGCTACCCAAGGCACAATGGGCCAGGAGGTACTCCATGCATTTTGATTAGCTGCAAGCATTCTCAGCATGACTGCTAAGCTTTACAGTTTTATTAACTCACAGATATGCATGGATTACTTACAGCATAACCATGTCAGCATAGCAAAAGTTTGTGAGTTGCAAATTAAGTTGTTCATATTAACAGCATTTTTGAACAGCATAAAATACTGTTTGTTACTAATGCTTTCTAAGCAAATAGGGGACAGGAGGCAGTACAAGGAACAGCAAAAAAATGGCTATAATTGTAACAACAGCTACAATTTTTTACTGGCTTCTGAGCCAAACATCTAATGGAAATGCAACTTTAATCTCAGTTGCAACATTTTTTTACTGGCTTCTAAACCAAACACTTTGTGAAAATGCAACTTTAATCTCACTTAAAGGCTTAACAGTACTTAAACCTCAATGTTTTACTTTACTTTCCAGTACTGATGTTTCAGCACTGTCAATGGCATTTTAAATAATGACTGGGTTATTTACTCTATCATCAAATAGTTTGCTTTAGATGGTATATGCATGTTGATTCCTTTACTATAAGAACATTTCTCAAAAAAAGAAGCTTCTGTGCCTTTATACCTGATGTCTCAATATTCATTATTTCTCCCTTAGTTATAGTCCAACTTTCATTCAAATGTTCTAGGCGTTCCCGCCTCCCCCCCAAAAGAACACACCTGTGAATAGATCAAGCTGCGCGCAAGTCCAAAGTCATCTAGTAAGATTCTGTGGCTCAAAGTGGATTAGAACCTGCAATTCTCCAATCCTAATTCAACACCTCAATCACATTGTCTAATAAATCCTAAATATCTCACAATGGCAAAAAGTGAACTGCAGAATTATTTTTTATGTTTAAATTTTCCTTCCCAATATATCTGAAATATATTTGTAGCAGTGATGTACATTTTGCATACTGAGTAACAAAACTGAATTGTAGATGTTTTTTGTTTTGTCCCTGGACTGTTTCAATCATATGGTTAAGCAGCTACAAAGGGAAATGCATAGACATGAAATGTAAATCCTTAAAGATATACTGTCCCAGAAATTCAGACCAATCCATCCACAATTACACCATGTTGTAAAGCATTAAGAAATATTTCTTAGTATTTCTAACATATTTTAAAGTAAAGACAGAATAATCACTAATTAGCATGCAACATTTCATTACAGCTGCAACATATTTTCACAAATACAACTTAAAGCAATTCTATAATATCATTGTTCTCAGTGAATGCTCAGCATGAAACCCCTTCCATATTTTTCAACCAATCAAGCTTAGAAAAACTTTTTGTTAAACATCATGTTGTAAATGAAAGTTCAACATAAGAAAGTTTAGTATGTGCTAAAACAAGAAGGATGCTTAATAAATTATTGGTTTCCAAGTAAAATGTCTACTCTCAGGCAATTATACCTATATTCAGAAAATGTAGATAGCATTTTTAGAAGTACTGAAGCCTGAAATCTTAACTTCAACTTATTTTTTTCTTCCCGTTAGAACTATACATTGAATTCTAAACCAAAATATATTCCTTAGTTTGGGTTAGGTGCATAATGTTTATTCCTGGCCTTCATGTATAAAATGCATAATCATCCTCTCTATTTACTTTCTGAAATGAGATATAGCAGTAAGAGGGGACTCACATTTGCTTGTAATCACTTTATCACCACAAGTCTCAATGTACTGGCAAAATACTTCCATACTTATAACACAAGTCACAAAGAATAATAACCATATAATTTTATCATGCTGCCTACCTACTTACTTTTCTAGATCAAAATTTTCTCACCTACAGAGCTTCACATTTGTGGAGTTAAATAGATTTATTTTTTCTGTACAATAAGATACAAATATCAGAAATACTTTAAAAGGGAACATACTTGGGTTAAATATGATCTTTTAACATTTCAACAGATTGGGGTCATTAAGTAAAAATAAAATAATGGTATTCATTGTAAAATAAAAGTATGAGTGAGTAATCAATGTAATACTGGTACAAAGCATCAGTCATCAACAGTGCTTTAATCCCCCACCCCCAATGCAACTCCCCTATCAACTATTTCCACACTGTACCGTGTCCCTAGAAAGCATTCAGGAGACAAACGTTTCATGTTATAGTGTAGAGGCATCACATTCATCAATGCACTAGACTGACCTTGAAAATCACTAGAGCTTTGGTTCCACACTTTTTAACAAAGTCACTATCTCTGAAACTCAAAAGGTAAGTGACCAACCTTCATTCTCTCCAACGTACCACTTGGGAAGACCTGGATATTGAGATGTATTTTAGAGAGATGAAAACTGAAAAAAGAGTTCATGCAGTTGTAAACAAGGTCATTGTTACATTTTTTTTAACCTGACATATTTCAGAAAAAGCCTGACGCTCTATGTACATACACTGCATTCTTTGTAGAAATTCACAATGGATGTTTCTGTTACAGTTAACACATTTTTTTTTTATTTCTGTTCTTATTAACCATGCATGGTATATCTTTCCTTAAGGCTGGCTGTAAAAAAAATTAAGAATTTCCAGTTTAATAAAAGCATATACTGATATTAAAAGAAATACATTATTTCTCCAATTTCTCACAAAGCCTGATGCAATACAATTTTAAAAATCTAGTAACTGTATCTGTCAATATGAAACAACCCAAGGAAGGATATTACCTGAGACTTGGATATGCTTTCCTTATTTGTAGAAGGATGAAGCTGAATATGCTGCAGTTTCAGACTCTGTGCGAATGACAGCTTTAAACTACAGCCAGTTTTATTTTTATACCAACACTATAAATCCAGCCATTTGCAATCCAGCTGCATGCTCATTAGCTGCGAACCGTAGCGGTTCAGCTCATTTCTGCTCATTCTACTAATCTCCTGTCTTTACTCCATTTATTTGCCACTTTTGCTGCTGCTCTGCCACAAAATACAACACTGCCCCATCTAAGATTAATTGATCATCAATTTAATCCTAATTTGGACCAAGTCAGGTGGTAAATGGACCACTTTTGCTTGATTGTTAGTGAAATGTGTGCAAGCACATTGATAAATT